CTGACATACATGGAAGAACTGTACCTAAAATGTATACAAAGTAGATAGAAACCATTTTGAGCCTTTTGCTTTGGGAATGAAAGAGAATTAGCTGATAAAATTCAGGAGATTCCTTAACGCTAAGACTCATAAATGATGGGAAGTATTCAGTCAGACACCACACGCATTTCTTTATCACAGAATTCACAGAATGCTGCAGTTAATACTGTCAACAGCCCTGTAAAGGAAGTTTAGAGTTTAAGTGACTTCCGGAAAATTCCACAGCTAGGGGGCCCCAGATGAGATTTGAACCAGGACTTCTGATTGCCAGGTTAGCGCTCTTTTCCACTATGCTACTGACAATGATGGGTGGTATGGTTGACATGGAATTTTGAGGGGAAAAAAAAAAGAATAAAGAACATACAATCTCTAAAAACACTGAGATACTCTGTCTTACCCAACATTGGTAAAAATTCAAAAGTCTGACTCTATCCATTGTCACTAAAGGTATGGAGTTCTGAGAATCCTTGTAAGCTTGCTGGAGGATGTATCAGTTGGAATCTTCAGTTGGGAGAGCAATTTGGCAGTACCTAGTAAAGCTGAAGATGCATAGCTTCTGCACTTAAGGTGTATGATGCAGAGACACTATTTGACATGTCCCATCTAGTTTTTGCAGCAGTCTTATAATGTAGGGCAGATCCAGTTCTGTGGGTCTTAAAGCTTACATAATTTAGGAGGTTCTTTTGAAGGGAAATAATACAGAACTACGAATATTGAGGTAAATATTATTTAGAATGAGGGAAGTTACAAGAAATTTCTAGAACTTTGGAAATTCACGGCCCTCTCTTCTGAGTTCCTTTAGAAATGCTTCCTAATTGCTTCCCCTCTTCTTGTACAACTCCCAGCAGCACCCAGCACTGGGGGGAGGGGCCGGGGAGAGGGGGATGCTGAGGGGTATGAGACTTATTTGCATAAATTCAAATAAGGGGCTCTGAGTTTAACTTTCATTAGCTTCATGGTAAATCTACTGCTGTTTATAACAGAAAAACATTGAAAGCAGCTCAAATAACTACCAGAATGAGAATGAATGAATTGTGGTATATTCATATAACAGAATACTATAAAGAATGAGTTGCAGCTACACAGATATATGTGAAAAACTAAATTTGAGTTGCAGAATAATTTATAGAGTAAGATACCATTAATTTAAATTTTAAAACTATACAAAACAATACAAGAAACTATAGATATATGCATATTATATATACATGTATGTATGTACACAGATGTGTATATATTATATATATATATATAAAATTGTGTGTGTGTATAATTACATGGAATTATAAAACATGGAAGGAAATGATAAATACTGAATTCTGGATAGTGGTTACCTCTATCCAGGAGGAAAAGGGAAATGGGATTGCAGAGAGGTTCAAAGGAGGTCCATTTCCTGGAAGGAAAAGATCTCAAGGAGATAGGACAAAATATTAAGATTTGATATGACAAACCTAGGTATTAGCTACCAGGTTTTATTGCATTATTTTCTAAACTCTTCTATATGCAGAAAATAGGTCACATGTTTCACACACAAAAAAAGTCTCTTGCACTAACCAGGGAAAGAAGATGCTCTAATTCTAGCAGCAAACCCGATTCCTCTATTTTTAGTATTTAATTTATATATATATTTTTAAAGATTTTATTTATTTGACAGAGAGAGACACACAGAGAGAGGGAACACAAGCAGGGGGAGTGGAGAGGGAGAGGCAGGCTTCCCGCAGAGCAGGGAGCCTGATGCGGGGCTCGATCCCAGGACCCTGGGACCATGACCCGAGCCGAAGGCAGACACTCAACGACTGAGCCACCCAGGCGCCCCAATTTATATTTTTGTTGAGGTATATGTAAATAAAATGCACAAATCTTAAGTTTACAGCTCAAAGAAATGTTTACATATCTGAACCAGGTAAGCCCACCAGGATCATGGTATAGAACACTGACAGATCTCTTCAGCACGTACAATTCCCCTTTTCCTGGCTGATATTCATCCTCTGGCTTCAGCTTAGATGTCACTTGCTCTAGGAAAACTGCCTTACTCCCCAGCACTTGGTTACTACTGCTCTTCTGTGCTTTTTCCTTTAATTGATCATTTACTTGTGAGCTTTTCTTTCTAGATTATGAGCTGCTTTTCTGAAGGTTCTAAACTACACATGTGACTTCTTGTTCTGTTTTGCGTCTGCACCTTTCCATCTTTCAAGTTAAATTGTACTCACCAACTTTAGCTTCTTCAGAGAAGCCCAGGAATCCTTAGCAATATTCATCCATTCCTTGTCTACACCTAATGTCTCCATAATTTCTGCATCAGGTACTATGTTCCTCTATGTTTTGAGGTCATGACCTTGATATCAAGGTGATACCAAGTTGAGAGTTTCATGAGTAGATTCAAGCATAATGAAAACCCTGAACAGAGTTGTATTTTATGACCACACAGAGTATCAGAGTAATGCTTGCCTTTTAGAAGCCTTGAAGCTTTGCAAGTGAAGCTAAAACCTGTCTTGCTGAGCCTGAATAAAACCTTCTCTAAAGCTGACGACTAATGCTGACGGTGTTCATTGCCCAGACCTGTATTATCAAAAAGGTAACAATAAGGACATTTCACTTCTGTTCCTCACTCCAGGGAACCTCAGGGAACTCCCTGAATCATAGAGAGACTACTAGGCATGCTGAAGAAGGCAAGTCCTCTTCATGTCGTAGGGGGAGCAACTGAAGAGTAGTTTAATCACTGGAGTAACAAGTGGGGAAGAGAATGGACTCTGGTGCCAGACTGCCAGTGTAACTTGGTGCAAGCTGGAAACCTTGCCAAGTTTCAGTTTCTACTTTGGAAACTGGGGATGATGATGCTAACCCTACTTCAGAGGGCTATTGTGAGGATTAAGTGAGTTAAGGCATGAAAACTTCCTAGCACAGAGTAAGCATTTTGCAGCACTAGCAACCATTATTACCAACATAGTAATATATTAATTGTGGTAAGATTACTCTGGCTACTGTCTGAAAGGTGATGAATCTAAAAAAGGCAGTGTCATCCCAACCTGAAAACAAAAATAAGAAAACACGATTTGATCTAGCACAAGATACATGGAGTGGTTTGAACTTAGTACCAGACACACAGATGCTATAGTCAACTTCCAGTTGTATACATTTTTAATTAACTACTGCTAATTTTCAGTTTCACCCACTGGTTTCCTTTGTCTTCATCATACTAGTAGGCACTGGTCTCCTGCTTAGAAATTAATTAACCCTTTGGCTTAGACAAGCAATAGGTGAGAGAGTAAAGGAAGTCAGGATCACTGTGGTAAAGAACACAGTTCTTAAAATACACATTGAGGGGAAAGGAGTGGAGAAAGAAGGCAAGACAGAAAAATAGCCTGGGAAGGAAGTGAGCCAACTGGTCACTACTTTTCAACCCTAGGACAAGGTAGGCATAGTCAAAAGGGGAGATATGAATTGAAAAACACTTAATGCTATGATCGTCTTCTTCCCAGATTTTGTAGCCAGCACACCAAAGCCATACTTATTTTGTTGTTAAAGTCCCAAAGCTACATAATTCTGAAGGTATTTGGACACATTTTTTAAACTTTTATTTAAGTTATCTCTATACCCAATGTGGGGCTTGAACTCATGACCCCAATTGGGGTCAAGAGTTGCATGATCCTACTGAGCCAGCCAGGCACCCCTCCATATTTCTTTTTGAAAGGTTCAAGAAGGCCCAAGAACTCTGGTATTTTTCTGGGAGATATTTTTTGTCTGTCTTGAGAACAATTTTACAATTCTTCCAGGCTGTTTGCCCTCCTAGCAACCTTTCCTGCTCACCTTGTTGCAGGAAATACTTTCTTACATCCAAGCATTGCAAAATTCTGATCCTCTTCAAAAACTGTTTATTTCCTTCTCTAGGCTACCACTCCTCTTGGCTCAAATATTTATGGGTACTTATAGGTTTATGTTGCAATAATCTGTTTTGTTGTCATTCCCCATGTCTAGACCATGAGCTTCTTGGTGGAAGGGACCATGATTTTATTTCCCACCTCGAGACACTCTATAGCACGATAGTTTAGTGCATGGAGCCAGAATTTCTGAGTTTAAATCTCAGATTTATAGGATGTATTGTATATCCTTGAGCAAGTCATTTCACTTTTCTGTGCCCAAGTTCCTGTATCTGTAAAATGGGCATAATAATAGCAGCAACTTTAAGTTGCCAACCCTTACTTTTATCTTTTAATTAGATGGAAACCTTTTCATGATTGTCAGTGAATTATATAATTTTTTTTAATTGGGAGGGGGTGGTGGATAAATTTAAAAGGGTCATTGTTTCCAGGTCAAACAAATGCAGATAATTGTGTAGGGAAAAAGACTTAAAGATTCCAGCAGGCAATGGCTGACATTCCCTCCAGTCTCTCTCCAACATCTTGACAGTCTGTCGTGCCTTCTCTGATTTGCATATACAAGAAGAGGGATACCTTCTCCAGCAAGCTGTCTCTGGCATCCCACGGTTAGGCTCCGCCAGGGAACTGATCACACTTTTATGCAGTTGTCTGTTTAGAAGTCTAATACCACACAACTGTGACTTGAGCAAGGATGATTTTTGTCTTGTCTTTCCTTGTGCTCAGAACTCAGGAACAATTGATACCCTCCGACTAATCCTCTCAACAACTAAGTCTCCTGGAGGCTTTCCTTCTGCATCAGTCCGTCTTTGCCTCTCAGTGTTCCTCGGCATCACCTGGAAGCTTTAGAAATGAACACCTCTTACGCCCCGTCCCAGGTGTGCTCCCCATTTTTCCCAGCAATAACACCTACGGCTGGAAGGGCTTCGCTCCGCCCCTTCTGAGCCTCTGGCCCGCTCCCTCCCCACTCCGTCAGCACCTGCCTCAGGCCCGCCTTCTCGGTAAACTGGAGTCACAAATGCGCACGCTCCTTCTTAACCTTCTCGTAGCGTGATGACGTTGACGTTGACGTTTGACGTACTGGCGGCGGCCCCGCGTGTTTCAGCGAGTGGGGCCGGTCTGGGCTGTGGATTTGGAAGCTACGTGGGACCGTGAGGTGTCTCGGCCGGCTACGGCGCGTAGTTTTTTGGGCTTACGCCGCTGACTCTGTTGTCTCCGCCCAGTCACGGGAGAGGGAAGCGCAGGGGGAGGGTCTGTGGGGATAGAGCTGGAGCCCCTGAAGGGGAAGGGAGCAGCCGGGGTTGGGGGGCGTGGAGCGCCTGCCTGCAGGGCTGCAGCCCAGAATTGGGGAGCAATCGAGAGGGGAGGTTCACCATAGGCAAGGTCCGCACCCGCCGGGATCGGGGCTGCTCCCGAGGAAGGCCTGGGGCAGCCGCGCGATGTTTGGGGCCCGGTGCCTGGTCCGAGCCCTGCGCCCCTGTTCCTCCGCCCCCTGCCCGAGACACAAACCTTCAGCCAGACTGAGCGTGCGGGATGCTCTCGGGGCCCAGAACACGAAAGGGGAGCGCGTTAAGGTCCAGGTGGGTGTATGGGAAGGGGGTGGGTTTTTGTTTTTGTTTTTTTTTGTTTTTTTTTTTTTTTTAGTGACTTAAACGGCACCTCCACGGCTAGGCTTGCTTGCCTTGTCAGACAGAATGACAGGCAGGGAAAGGAGAAAAGGTAGCCAATTGTGTGCGTTCACACTTTTCTCCTTGTCTACCGTTACTTTTTGCAAAACTGTTCGGATGCCTGTGAAGTCCTGGAACTTTGCTTTCACGGTACCAGGACATTACCTGTAATCTTATTAGTCATACAGCAAAATAAACATTTCCTTTATCCCTCATGATGAACATCCACAGTTAATAGTGGCTGCCTCGAGCTAGCTCCTTGAGAGCTGACACCGTGTCTCATCTGTCTTGGTATTCATACGTGGCTGACAGTAAATACTTGTTCAACTAAACAATTGCTTTTATTCAACTTTTAACCACCCCAAGGCCTAAAAATGGGGGTTTGCATATAATGTATGTTTAATAAGTTAGGAGAAAGAGTAGAGTGTTGCAGTATGAAACTCTGGAGTCAGGCTGCCTAGGTTCAAATCTGCCACTTAGTGGCTCATTAATTATGGGCATGTCTCTTATGTATTCTCTGTTTCCTTCTTACGGCCGTGAAGCTAATAGCAGCCTTAATGTCATAGAGTCCTGAAGATTGAGGTGATAGGTATTAAGACTTTTAGAACAGTGGCTCACAGTCAATAAATGTTGGCTGCCCTTATTTCTCTTGTTAATATCATTTGCAACAGCTCCACATAGATTTGTAAAATACCAATTTTGGAGAACAAAATACAAAATATCTCAATATATATTGATTACATGTTGATATTTGGGGCATAATTGGATTAAATAAAATATTAAAATTAATTTTACCTGCTGATCACTAAAACATGCAGAATTACATATGTGGCTCACATTATATTTTTTTTATGTCCTCCCTGGTCTAATGGCTAGGACTAGTAATTGGGGTAATGTGATTGGTACTGGTGGTATAAAAATTTTTGAGAAAATAGAGAGGGACATCCTTAACTATGTGCGGTCAAGGAAGACTTATATTAAGTGACATTTCGCTTGAGTCCTGAAGGATATGAGTTCCTCAGGCAGAGGAACTGGGGGTGAGGTGGGGATAGCATTGTAGGGAAGTTTGATAATAACGTGAACTTTGAGAACTGTATTTTAATTCTAGCTCTATTGGGAACTGTGATTTTAATTATTTAGAGAGGTTATCCTCACTTCTCTAAATATGTTCTCCATCTCTAATATTCACTTCATTAAGTTCTTGTAAGGAATGAGTAGTAAAATATGAAGAGCTTAGAACAGAATCACATTTTTAAACAGTGCTTCACAAATGTTACCTTTTACTAACAAGTGAAAAGCAAGACAGTGGTGTTTTGCGAATTACTATTGATTGAACCTGACCAAAGAGCTCCTGCCTTCGGAGAAGCATGGGGAGGTGAAACCAGAAAGATGGGCACGCTCAACTGTGAAAGGCCTTGTATAGGAGACTGAGGCAAATTATACTTATTCAGTGTAGCCCTAGAAGTTCAAGGGCTTTCTGGTAGACTTGGGCTCAAATTTGGGCTTTATGTTACCCAGCAGTGTGACCTTCAAGTTATTTAACTTCTTTGAGCCCAGATTCTTCACTTGTAAGACAGATTATGATAATCCACAGAGCCGTTGTGAGGAAGGGATGAGATAGAATATCAAGAAGGTAGTAAAACACTTGTCACATAGTAGATTTTTAGTGCATGGTAGGTATTCTTTCACTGAAAAACATGGACTATCTACTATGTGCTTGACAGTGGCCTTCAAAGCAACTAAAGCATGGTTCCTAAACTTTGAAAATATGGACATGCAAATAAGTAATAGAAGAGCTTTAATAGCATCGTCTATAGGGTATTATGGGAACACAAAGTAAGGGTCAAAAACTCTAGTTTTTCTAACTAGAATCATCTCCCTTTTCCCAAGCATGTCTGATAGTTCATCAAACACCATCAGTTGTTTCACACTTTTTCAGTGTCTGCTAGAAGAATATTCCCTTTTCTGTGCTAGTTAAATGTAAGCTGGATGTGATCTGTGAGAACTGTTTTTAGTAGTACTCGTCTACTAGAAGACCTCTCATTTGTACTCACCCATACCTGTCATTTAAATTCAGAGTGTCTTCGAAAGCTTATGTACTAATTATGTTCACATGAAAAACTTCTTGAGAACTTTGTGTGATACATTCTAAAAGGGAAAAAAACCCATAAAGATGTTTCTAGTCTATGACTACATAATCTCCCTTCTGGGAATTTTATATAAAAGAAGACGAGGGCCAAAATATGTGCCCTGTTATTTGTTATGGTGGTGAAAAGGAGCGAGGGGCAAGAAGAAATACCTGGAATAGCCAATATTGGGGAAATTGATGATGTGAATTAGGCTCTTCACCTAATGGAATGTTAGGCATCTGTTCAGAATGGTGAATTTTATTAATAAAACAAAAAGGTGTGATGCTGAAGCTGTATCTCACTACAGTAAGAATCATATTGAATTAGATATGCTTAGGGGTGAGCTAAAAGCAATTGATTTGTTAAGACAGGATTGAGGACATTTTTTTTCATTTAGTTTTATATGTGCATGTGTAATGAAAATGTAAAATGTTTATGTGTTTTAAACTCACATTTAGAAATTTCTCTTCATTAGGGTTGGATTCGTTCAGTCCGATCCCAGAAGGAAGTCTTGTTCCTGCATATAAATGATGGATCGTCTTTGGAAAGCCTTCAGGTTGTAGCAGATTCAAGCTTTGACAGTAGGTGAGTTTTTTGTTTTTTGTTTTTAAACAAAAAAATCTTTTTTCTTTCATCTCTGCTCCCCATTTCCCTAATCCAGTGTTCATATTGCCCCCTGAGTGATCTTTCTAAACAAACCTGCTTTTCAGAGCTTTGAGGCTCAAGTCCAACTATCTGGAATCAAAATCCTTCAAGCCCAGGCCTTTCCTTTTCTTTTTCTTTTCTTTTTTTCTCTTTCTCTCTTTTACTTTTTTCTAATTTAAATTCAGTTAATTAACATAGAATGTATTATTAGTTTCAGACGTAGAGTTCAGTGATTCATCAATCTTATATTAACACCCAGAGCTCATTACATCACATGCCCTCCTTAATGTCCATCACCCAGTTACCCCATCCCTGCCCCCCTCTCCAGCAACCCTCAGTTTGTTTCTTATGATTAAGGGTCTCTTACGGTTTGTCTCCCTCTCTGATTTTGTCTTGTTTTATTTTTCCCTCCCCTCCCCTATGCTCCTCTATTTTGTTTCTTAAATTCCACAAATGAGTAAAATCATACAATTGTCTTATATGATTTTACAATTAGTAAAATCATACAATTGACTTATTTCACTAAGCATAATAGTCTCTAGTTCCATCCGTGTCATTGCAAATGGCAAGATTTCAGTTTTTTTAATGGAGACCTTTCTTCTTCTAACATCTTCACATAATAATATCCCCTACTTATTCTTTGCTTCAGTCTCTCCCAATTATTTGCTGCCCAAAGAAGGGTGAAACCTCTCTCATTAAATATTGGAATGTTCTGATAGCAAGTTTTGTATTAAAATGAGGGTTCCATATAATGATATCTTGTTTATGCTGGTTTTTTGTTACTGTAGAGAACTGGCTTTTGGGAGTTCTGTGGAAGTTCAAGGGCAACTGGTAAAAAGTCCATCCAAAAAGCAAGATGTGGAACTGAAGGCAGAAAAAATTGAAGTTGTTGGAAATTGCGATGCCAAGGTATGCTCCAATACTTTAATGAAGACTATTTAGGCTTAATTTAAAACATTAGCAGTCTGTTTTAAGTGTGATTATTGGGAAGATGGCCCTTAGAGCATGTTTCAGTTGGACTTCCCAGATAATTGAAACAGGCTATAGAGCCTGAGGAATGTAGAGAGTGTAGCAAAAAGTATATAGATGATTGAGTTTTATGAGTGAAAGTGAAGTATTAATCTATGCATCTCTTTGGACGCCTGTCACAGTTGAAACTTGCCACTTTCACGAAGATGTCCAGTTAGCCGCAGTGACAGAGACATCGGGGTAGACCATGTTCTTAGGAAAGCCCTCCCTAGAAATGACCTTTTCAGGATCTAGAACTGTGCTGTACCAGTATAGTAGCCACTAGCCACCTGTCGCTGTTTAATATCAACTAATTTAATACTAAATCAATCAAAATTAAATAAAATCAGTTCCGCAGTGGCATTAGCCACATTTCAAGTGTTTGGTCATCACAGGCAGCTGCTGGCTACCATACTGGATAGCACAGATACAGAACATTTCCATTTATCAAAGAAAATTCTGTGGGACAGTACTGGAGTAATGCTCGGGCTGAGCAAAGGTAAGAAATCCTACATTAAGACATGTATGGGGCATCTGGGTGGTGCAGTCGGTTAAGCATCTGACTCTCGGTTTCAGCCCAGGTTGTGATCTCAGGGTCTTGAAATTAAGAACCCCGTCGGGCCCCGTGCTCAGCAGGGAGTCTCCTTGGTTTTCTCTCTCCTTCCCCCTCTGCCCCCACCTGCTTATGTGTGGGTGCGTGCTCTCTCTCTCTCTTCCTCTCTCTCTCTCAAATAAATAAATCTTAAAAATAAAAAAGAGACACGTTTATGCCTATTTTTGCAAGACTTTTTGTTACTAGCTTTTATTTATCACCTGATAAAGAGGTTAGAGGGTATAAAATCATAGGTTATCAATCCAGTTTCTGAATTGGAGAAAATGAGGCCCGGTCAGGTGACCTGACTTGCTCAAGGTTATATAGCTGACTAGTGCCACAGCTGAAATTGATGTACTAGCCATTTGACTCCCCTGTAGTTTTGCTATACTTGTCTTCAAGTATTTAATGAACAAAAAATGAGGAAGTATAGGGAAATTGCATCATTTTAATTCATTTTTATTTCTTTTGGATAATTGGAGGAAAATAAATATAGGGGAATAAGAGAGAAAATAGGCAACTTTTAAAAAAAGTCATTCTGAATAATTTTTAAAGAAATACTAATTGAAATGCTAATAAATACTAATTGACATGTAAAATCTGGAATCGGGCTCTAAGATTTCTGAAAAGTAGACTATGAAAATAATTTGGAACTCAGGAATTGGGAGATGGTAACCATTTTTGGTTCTGCTTTTTTAGAGGGGTATAATGATTATTAAAATTTGCCATGTGTTTTACTCTTCTTAAATTGTTCTCTCTTGGCTTCTGTCTTTGTCATTCACCCTCTCTTCCCCTTGATTTCAGGTTCATTTTTAAAGTATTCAGACATTAGGGAATTCTGATCCCCAGACAGTCTCCAGACTCCTGTTAATGTCATATTTTGACTTTAGTAGATGTGGTACTTATTCTATTATGAAATAAATTAGCATGTGCACTAAAAGATAGATAAGACTAAATGGAATAAGTTATCAGTTTGGCTTTTTTACTTAGCTTTTCTGTTATTTAAACTTTGGTCTGAAGGTTTGTTTCTGTCTTCTTAATCTTGAAACATGAGGGTAGGCAGGGTGTAATATTTCTATATAGAGTCATAATTTGAAATTTTTGTAAATATATACTGCTCTGCCAGATGACAGAAAGCTGTTGACCCTCCCTCATGTTCTTAGACATGTTGATAAACAGGGAAAAACAGTGCCAATGGATTATAAATGATTGTAGGCTTCCAAGACATTTGGGTGACTTTAAAATTGAACACCAGCTGTGTGTACACAGCTGTAGAAAACATAATCTTTAATATCTGCTATATTCTGAACTTTTATGTGCCAAACAGTGGACTGTTTTGCATAATTATATCCTAATCTCTCTATTTGTAAGTAGTGACTGATATAAGCTAATGGATGGAAATTTGATAAATAACAGATTAGCCTCAGTAATATTAACTTTGCCTGAGGTTCCACACCTAATAAGTAGTAGAGCTGGATTCAAACCCACATCTCTGAATCCACCCACCATTCTACTAATTTGGAATTATGTGGACTATATTCACTTATATTAAGAAACAGGGAAAACATTTTAATTTTGTTTTGAAGCATTACTATTTAACAAGTGTCCTGGAAACTGCTATCATAGAACATTATCTTTTTTAGCTTTTAATTTGTTTTTTTCCCATTAATTGGCAGGCTTTCCCTTTTAAATATAAAGAAAGGCATCCTCTGGAGTATCTGAGACAATATCCTCACCTTCGGTGTAGAACTAATGCTCTGGGTTCTATACTGAGGGTTCGTAGTGAAGCCACAAATGCTATTCATTCTTTCTTTAAGGTAAGGTGCTTTGTGTGCTTTTAGCTGTTCTTTTTTTTCCCCTAGCTGTTCTGTCTTGTGAAGAAGTTGAATAATTATAACCTTGGAGTATTATCCTGAAAGTTCTGTTAGTCACACTGTGTATTCCAAGCACCCTTTATTTGTATGGTACTTTTTTCTTTGGCTGATTTGAAATTGTCTCTCTTTTTTTTTTTTTTTTTCCACTTTCCTGAACTTTATTAAAGAGAAAGCAATGATGGTAAATCTCGAGAACAATTTTCTAGGATTCTTCCTTGAAAATGTGACATTTGATTTCCAAACACATGCCAGAGCGTAAATGGTTCCCAATTGTACTAAGTAGGTGAGAAGCTGAAATCCTAAAATGTTCATCTTCCAACTTTCCCCAGTCTGTGGTCTGTCTTTGGATCAGCAATAATTGCCTGAACAGCTACTGTGGCTTCATTAATTTTTGTCTGTAGCTCTCTGAGCTCTTCTATATGCAGCAATCGCAGAATTTGAGCAGCTTCATTAAGAACTGCATCTCCTGTGTCAAAACCAAGAATATGTTTGTCTAAAGCAACAGGCAAGCCCTCTTTCGTTTGATTTGTTTTAGCAACTGCATCCTGGGTCAGGCGCTCCTGGACCAAAATGCGAATTGCCTTAAGCATTACGAGGTAATCATCATGACGCTGAATCTGAAGAAGGTTAGCCAAAGCCATTACACCAGCCTTAAAATCAGGATTATTTACATCCAAGTTGATCAATGGCTCTGCATTTTTAGCTGTATTGTCAGCATTTTTTGTATTATCAGGTACCAAGTCCTTGTATTTTTCAGCATTATCTCCATATTCAAGTCTAACAGCTAAACCAAGAAGCCAGTCAGTTGCTTCTTGTCGCTCTTGAATCTTGAAAGGACAGTTAACATCTTTGAGATACTTTTCAAAGAACTTGGGCCAGTCACTGCTGTGGATGTTTCTTAAATTACCTCTGTCTTCAATCTTGTAGTGTCTGATTTTCTGGTTTTCAAGCCAAACAATAAAGTTTCTAAATTCTGTTTCATCTTTGCAGTTGAAGCCAGCTGGGTTGTGGTAGTCGAGGGCCGTCAGCTTGCGTCGGAACATGGTCCCCACGTCTCGCTCTGGTCCCCCGGGTTCGGCCGGGAGAGGACAGGCGAGGAAGAGCGGGCGTGGCAACCAAAATTGTCTCTTAATCACTGGTTTTGAGCAATTAGATTATAATGTGCCTTGGCACAGTTTTCTTTGTTCCTTGTGTTTAGACCTTGTAGAATTTCTTGGATCTGTGTGTTTTAATTTTCACCAAGTTTTTTAGCCATTATTTCTTCATATATTTTTTATGTTAACCCCCCCCCCTTTGGAGACTTCAGTTGCCTATATATTAGGCCACTTAATGATACCTTCATAGCTCACTGATATTCTTTTTTTAAAATTCCTTTTTCCCTGTGTGTTTTTTTTTTTAAAGATTTTATTTATTTATTTGAGAGAGAGAGAGAGAGAATGAGAGATAGAGAGCACGAGAGGGAAGAGGGTCAGAGGGAGAAGCAGACTTCCTGCTGAGCAGGGAGCCCGATGCGGGACTCGATCCCGGGACTCCAGGATCATGACCTGAGCTGAAGGCAGTCGCTTAACCAACTGAGCCACCTAGGTGCCCTCCCTGTGTGTTTTTTTAGGGGGTAATTTCTATTGCTGTGTCTTCAAGTTTACTAATCTTTTCTTCTAGAATGACTGATTTGTTGTTACTCTTATATCCACTGCATTTTTTATCTCACATTGTAGGTTTCATAACTAGATGTTTGATTTGGGCCTTTTTTTTTTCTTCTCTGTGGAAAAATATGGAATGCTTCACGAATTTGCATGTCATCCTTGCACAAGGGGCCATGTGCATCTTCTCTGCATTATTCCAATTTTAGCATATGTGCTGCTGAAGCAAGCACGATTTGGGCCTTTTTAAAAAAACACCTTCCATTTAACTCTTTGAACATACACAATACAGTTTTAGTAAAACTTTACAGTTGTAATAGCTGTTTAATAACTGTTTTTATGTCCTAATTCTAACATGTCTGTCAATTATAAGTCCTTTTTGATTGATTTGCTGCTTTTATTTGTTTTTATTTATTTATTTGATTTAGTGCTTTTAGTCTCCTCATTACAGGTTATGATTTCTTGCCTCTTTGCCTATCTGCTAATCTTTGGTTAGATGCCAGACAGAAAATTTTACCGTGTTGGATATTACTAAGCTTTGACTGCTTTTTATGGATTTTTTTTTTTTTTTGGTCTTCTTGCTGTCACTTTTTGTTATTATAAGTATAAGCTTTGTAGCTTATTACTAAGCTTCAAGTAGCTTAACCGCTACTTGAAAACTGTTTGATCCTTTTGGGTCTTGTTTTTATAATTTGGTAAATAGGGCTGGAGCAGAGCTCACAGTCTAGGGCTAGTTAATTTCCACTACTGAGGCAAAGACTTCCTGAGTACTTTACCTAGTGCCTTGTGAATTTTGAATTTTTCCATTCTGGCTTGTGGGAACGGGTACTGTTTCCAGCCACACTGTGAGCACCAGGCATTGTTTCCTCTGATCTTTTTGGATGATTCTTTCCTTGGCTTTTGATAGTTTCCCCACATGCATGTGATCATCATTCTTCTACCTAATACTCCAGAGTGACCCTCTGTACATCCCTGGAGTTCTCATCTCTCCTCTCTGATACTCTGTCCTATGAATTCTAGCCACTTTTGCCCCCCTCCTACTCTCAGCTCTGTCCCCTCAGCTAAGGAAGTCTGCTGGGCTCCACCTTATTTCCCCCCTTCTTCCTGCTATGGCCTGGACAATCTCAAGGTACTAAGCAAGGCTTTTGATAGGGTTCACTAAGTTTGTTTCCCACCTCAGGGATCTCTTGTCTTTTGTTGTCTGATATCCATTGTCTTGAAAACCATTCTTTCATGTGTATTTTTTTTTTTTTTGTGGGGTTTTTAGTTTTGTTTTCGTTTTTTGTTTGTTGTTTGTTTTTGGTTGTTTCAAGGGGAAGGGTAAATTTGGTCCCTGTTTTTCCATCTTGGTCATAGACATATATGTAGTAAGCACTACTTTTAAAGAGTTATTGGTGTTAATCAGGTAGATTGGTACGCAGCTGAAGGCGTTTTGTCTTATTTAGCTTTGCTTGTCATCTGCTTCCCCCTACCCGGGAAAGCCACAGAGGAATATAGTGGTTAAGTTTATGAGGTCAAGGGACCCTCCCCCCAGGTGGATGAGAGGGCCCCAAAGGCCAGGAGTGGCCCAGCAGATGAAGTTCAGTGTTATTCCAAGTGGTTCTGGAGCTCTTCCTATGCCACTTCTCCAGATCCAGCTGATTGGCAGAGATTGTCTAACATCATACCCTTCCCTTGGATGCATCCAAATTCATGCAGGCCCAGCCCTGTTGTAGTTTACCAAGAGTTCTTGCTCTTTGAAAAGCTCCTTCAGAGTTAGTTTCTGGTGAAACAGCTAAAGAGCATTATGGCTTTGAATCATATAGTTTTGAATAAACAAAGAAAAATAATCACATTATACTATGTCATCCTATTACATAGTTCAAAAGGGTGCATTTCCATATGCTCTCATAAACTTTCTTATGCAACTTCCATATGGCTTTTCAGTAGTGCTTAACCACACAAGCAGAAAATTTGTTCAGACCTAAAAATGTTTCTTGCCCCATATGGCTTTAAATAGTGGATAGACCTGCTTCAATACTGAAAGTTTTATAGGTTTCTGGCCACTAGATGGTGATATTGGCAGTCCATTGGCAAGTGAGCTTTACCTACTTTATACTTTATACTTTTTCCAGTAATAACTGGAAGCTTTTACAAATGTGTAAACAATCTCACAAACCGGGAAAAATCTGAAATAAAAAAATAAGCAAAATAACATTTTAGGTGGTTGCAAATAATGAATTTTAGCACTACTGGTTATAGTTAAAAAGGCAGGTAATTTTTGAATGTTATCAATTCAGTTTTTAATTGTAAAGCCCTAGAAAATATAATCCTGATAATTCTATAATGTTACCCACTTGTATATATAACACTTAGGACGGAATTGAAATCACAGAGTACGATAGGGCATATTAAATAATAGTTATATGTTATTTAGTATTTGGTACTATTTCTGTGACTTATACTTTAGACTCCCTAAAAGATGTTGAGACTTAAAATCTAAGAGTTTCATACCTTAAAGTATCCTAACTTAAAAGGTACTGTCTAGTTGCTATGTTTTCCTAATATTTCTAGGTTAGAAAGTCATTTTTTGGTTTGAGTATCAAAAATGTTTTGTGTATAAGTTGGTTTGTGCATAAAAGTGACACATTTGCTATGTACTAAAACTTGGATATCTAGAATCCTCAAGGAATGAATTATTTAAAAGAGCTGAGTTTCTCCCATAACAGAGTAGTTAAGCACAATTTTTTTTCCAATTTCCAGTGGAGGTTATCCTAAAATATATTACATAGTTCCCTGGCTTCCTAATTGAGCCAATAGAAGAGTTTACCCTTTCTTGATGAGTCCAGATTCTTCCTTTTGAGTATCAGGTTTTTCCCTCTTCTGTATGGCAAGGCCTTAAGAGCCTTTCAGGGTGTATTCTTTGCCCCTCTGTTGAATGACCCCAGACTACTGTGTCTTTGAGTTCCTGTGACTGCTTTTTATGGATTTTTTTTTTTTTTGGTCTTCTTGCTGTCGCTTTTTGTTGCCAGTGGTTAGCAATTGTTGTCATGTTTCTTCCTTGTTGATTCTGATTAAATAATGATGCTTACTTTGTGTGAGTGTAAAAGAAAAACACAGTCCATGAGGTTTTGAGTGATATGCATGGGCCTTAGTATGTGAATTTTATAAATTTCAGATATTCAGTGTCTTATAAAATATCTGGTTCTAAAATGTGTATCAAAAATATTTAGATATTTAGAGGTGGTGGGTGGAATCAGAAAAATTGGGTGAGTAGGGGTGCCTGTGTGGCTCAGTCAGTTAAGCGTCTGCCTTTGGCTCAGGTCATGAACCTAGGGTCCTGGGATTGAGCCCCGCATCAGGGTTGGGCTCCCAGCTCAGCAGGGAGCCTGCTGCTCCCTCTACCTCTGCCCCTCCCCCCTGCTGGTGCCCTCTCGCTCTTTCTTTCAAATAAATAGATAAATCTTGGGGGAAAAAAAGAAAAAAATTTGGTAAGTGTGTACTTTTATTTTTGGCTCCTTCTCTGGCCTTCCTATCTCTAATTAGGAACCCCTTTGCTGTAGGATGGGATAAATACCTGACACTGTTACCCTGGTGGAGGCAGACAGTAGTCCCCCACTCCTTGCTGTCTATTTCCTTTCTATTTTTCTACTTCCCTATCCACTTGCTCTTTTTTGGATTTTGTTCTCTACGCTTTATTATTCTACCTTTGGAGCCTCTTCCTTATGGTGGGAATGTTATAGACTTTGATATATAAGCCTTCTAGTAGCATTAAGGCTTAAAAAGCTGGTGACACCTTTTGAAAGGTTTAGCATTAATTGAGTATTAAGAATAATTCCCACTACTTGAGTGACTTTTTTTTTTTTTTAAACACAGATAGTTTTTTTATAAGATTTGCAGTTTTGTTTCTTGTGGCAATTGACCAGTTCTAACTTTGGCAATTATATTTAGCCGTTAGATTTTCTCCTCCCTCTCCCCCTCCCTCTCACCACCCTCATTTCCTTTGGATTTTTCACTTCCTTTCTTTGTTTACTGCACTCGTGCTCATAGTTGCCTGTATTCATGTGGAATAAATGATTCATGTCCATGATTCTGGTTCCTAGGAGATAAAAATTTTATGCAGTAGTGTTATTGATTATATTTCATTCATTCTCTATAATGTGCTTTGTGTGGCACCTCTAGGCACGTAGCTCCCAGGTTAAGTATATATTTGAATATTTTCTGAGACTCCTAATTTATAGCTTGAATATTTAATCAGTCTACGTCATAAGACAAGTTGTTAACTGGGTACTTTTTATCATAGCCAGAATACTTGAATTCCACCTTTTTAAGAAGGGAGGGGCAAATTTGGGAGGCGGCTGGTGTAATGCACTGAGACATTTTACATTCCATCAGTGATAGGTATAATTTGGCAGAGATTAAAGGTGCATGTATGAATTCATTGCATTGATTTCAAGACCAAAATTTTTGTGTGAAACACATACTATTCTGCCTCTGCAGTGTGAGTTCACGTGAGCTACCTCGACGCCCACCCGCAACATTTACACTGAATGTAACCTTTTGCCACATCCATAGTCAAAATGAAAGAAGTATAACCTTGAAGTTGGTGGGTTATTTGAATCCTACTAGCAAACAGCTTTTGTGGTTCACTAATGGAAATAGCTCAGACTTCGGAGCGGAAGAATTGAAATTGGGCGCCTTGGTAATAGATGGATTTGATGCTCAGAATCTTCCTTGAGGCAAAGGAAGTGCACTGCCTATGCCATGTGTAGTGTTCTGTGCCATCAATTTGATGACAGACTTCCTAAAAATCATTTCTGCCTTTGTTGCTATTTATTTCTTCAGTCCCTATTTGGCAACTTTAATTTTTCTCCTTTTTTGGTGGTTTGTGACAATTGGGGGGGGGTCTCATTCCATAATAACAACTGAACTTCATATTGATCACTTCATAGTCCCTTAGCAGTGTGGGCAACATCGTTGTGCATTAGCTGTGAGTGTGTGTGTGTGTGTGTGTGTGTTTGTGTGTGTTGATTCACTACCAGTGTGTTAGAGAAGTGGGAAGAAAAAATACACCAGAGAGACCTTAAAGGCCTAGGTTCCAGTCCTGGCTCTCTCTGCCATCTGTGTGAATTTTTCATTAAGTCTCTCTGGGTCTCAATTTCCTTATCTTTGAAATCATGTTGGACTAGAGAATGTCTAAGTCAGTTCTTGATTTAAAATTCATTGTGCTTCTCTGCACAGTAAAACACTCAACTTGATATCTCATTAGTTATACTTGGGGGGTTAGAGATTTGATATGGCATTCTATTAGTGCTCTTTTAATAGTATAATCAGTTGTATGATCTTAGAATTGTTTTATATACAAATATGCTGAAAAAAGTGGGTTTTCTTTTCTTCCAGGACTGTGGCTTTGTGCATATTCATACTCCAATAATCACATCCAATGACTGTGAGGGGGCTGGAGAACTGTTCCAAGTTGAAGTAAGTTGTGCTTCCCATCTTGAGGGATAGGTTGCTCTTTGATATTTTTCTTCGGAGGGTTTGCTTTAAATTTAATAATGGTTGTGTGGATAGACCATAACTAAAACTTGAAGATTTGTCAATAGTAAACCTTAAAGAACAGATATAGAAAATTCAAACTTCTCCGATTTCCTGTTCTACTGGCTATATTACTGACATTGTGACTGAAAGGAATGAATTTTAAATTAGTATTACATTTGCTTTCCTTATATAACTGTGAATTGGTGAACTAGAGACACTTGAAGAGATTAATAAAGCTTTTAGGATCTCTTTCATGCACATTCAAGCCCCAGTTAATATTTTTGGATGTAAGTTATATTTTAAAAGATAAAATAAGAAAACATACATTAGCATATTTTCTTTTCCAAAGTCTTTAAAGAACACATTTATTTTATAAGAAATTATTTATGTTCCATATACCTCATGAAGTCTCTGGGGGTTTTTTTTGTTTTTTTTTGTTTTTTTAAAGATTTTCTTTATTAGAGAAAGAGCATGAGAGGTGGGAGGGTCAGAGGAAGAAGCAGGTTCCCCGCCAAGCAGGGAGCGTGATGTGGGACTCGATCCTGGGACTCAGTCCTGGGACTCCAGGATCATGACCTGAGCCGAAGGCAGTCGCTTAACCAACTGAGCCACCCAGGCGCCCCTGAAGGCTCTGATTTTAATTCCTTGTTCAGCAGTAATTTTTTGAGCTCCTGGTATATGCCAAGCATTGTCAGCTTGCCCTTGTTGCACATTATTTAAAAGTTACCAGTTTTTCTTACTTGTAGGCAGTTGAAAGCCTTTCATTTACCAATTTCACAACCTATTTAACATCATTGGCCAGTAGTAATAATGGACAGAGAGAAATGTATGTTGATAAATGGTGCTTTTTGTATTTCTTTCATTTATTCAGTGATTTCTTTATCTCTAAGAAGTCAAGATTCTTATTTATACATCTCAGTGATTCCATCAAATGACAAGACCTGTGTGTAACTGCTCTGTTCTGGTTCAGTACATTTGGACTCTTGATAATGATGCTTCCTCTTCTTATTATTGAACAAAGTATTCACTGGGAGAAGTTGTCCTGATGTGTTGAAGTCATTTAAAATGATAATCAAATGCTGTCTGTATTCATATATAGTTTGAAGAAATCTTGATAGCCTTCTGCAAAAAGCAGAATAAAAATGCCCTGTTGAACATTTAAACTGGGATTGTTAGCATCTATAAATATGAGTTCAAAAAAGGCAGCAAATGATAAAATAACAGTACATAAATTGTGAAAAACATTCTCTTCTAGGCGTTTATATTGTTTATTTTCTCTTTGTACCTTAATAGTCTTCTGAATGTTGAAGTGAGGAATTACCCACCTTAAATACATTTCATAATCCCTTAATCTAAACCACTGAATATTAAAAAGGAAATGACGGGAAGGAAAGGTATAATTTAAAGGAGTTTTACAAATAAGAAAGTAATTATTAAAGAGACCCAAATTAAGCAAGTAAAAAAAATCTGTAACAAACTGAAATAATGATACATTTGGGGATAACTACTTTGCTACCAGGGAAATCCCATAAGCAAGTCTGAATGATTACAGTATGTGTGTTTTGGCCTTTAAACAACACAAGGCAAGTTACCAGGTAAGTATAAATATAGAGGAAGGGGGAAATACGTACTTCTGAAGCTAAACAAATGAGAAGTGTTCAATGTTGGTAGCCTTTCAGGGCCAGGTTGAGGAATTTCCCATTAGTGGAATTAGACTTGCCTATTCAGGGTACCAGAAAGAAATGCTTTTGAATTTGTTAGTCCTAGGCTCCTGTCAGGCTCTAGATCAGATCTCAGCAATTTGTGGCTTTTTGCTATGACCCGCTGTCTTTGTTTTTTTCAGAAGCTTGGTTTAGAAACTTGTCTTCTGCCCCTGCCAACCCTCTATCCTTTGAAAGCAGGACCTTCTTATTCCCACCTCACTCATGTCTGTACAGTACTTCCATTCTTCATTGTGTTAATTTTGTCCTGACTGCCTATAAAGGCATTGGGGTTTGAATCTTGGTACCCCACTGTTAGGAGTAAGTGGAGTTTCATATTTAAATTCTTCTCTTGGGGGCGCCTGGGTGGCTCAGTCGTTAAGCATCTGCTTCAGCTCAGGTCATGATCCCAGGGTCCTGGGATCAAGCACCTCATTGGGCTCCCTGCTCCGCGGGAAGCCTGCTTCTCCCTCTCACTCCCCCTGCTTGTGTTCCCTCTCTCACTGTGTCTCTCTCTGTCAAATAAATAAATAAAATCTTTAAAAACAAAAACAAAAATAAAAACAAAAACCTTCTCTTGGAGTGTGTGAGTGGCTCAGTCAGTTAAGTGTCTGACTCTTCATTTCTGACCAGGTCATGATCTCAGGGTTGTGAGATCGAGCCCTGCATTAGGCTCCACACTGTGGAGCCTACTTAAAAAGAAAAAAGATAGGATGCCTAGTACACCCAGGTTTGACGGCAGCAGTAAAAGGCCATCTTGAAATGTGCAATAAAAACGTACACTTCTCTAATACGCTGTTGAGAAGTGATAGCATGTCCCATCATTTTAGTTTCCTTTTTCTTCATTTCTGCTTCCTACTTTAAGACTCGGGCTATTTGTTAAGGTCTGGGTACTACTGAACACATATGTAGAAAGTTGCATTAAGGCATGCATATGTTATTCAGCAGACATTTGTACCACCTGTGTTCAAGATGCTAGCTTGTCTCTGAGAAGATAAAAGAGATTAAAGGCAAGAATTAGAGATTATGGCAAAAATTAGCTGTTGATGGAGCATAAGATGAAACTGCTTTATGTATATATTTGAGGTTACAGTCTTAACAATTGCAAGTGGTATGGAATATAGAGGAAAATTAGGTCAATGAGGATTGACTTGGGCAGGAAAATCTTCAAAATGAATTTGTGACTGGAGTGTAACCTGGGGAGAATATTCCAAGTAGGAGAACAATGTGAGCAGAGTCAAGCAATTGAAATGAGTGTGGGGTTTTCAATGGACTATAGATGGACAAATTAGAAAGTTCATTTTGGTGAATGATAAGAAATAAAGTCAGATGGCTATAGGAACGAAAAGATGGAGCAGGTTTTAACTTTATTGAAATATATTTTATATACCATAAAATCTACCCACTTAAAATACAGTTCCATGGTTTTTAATATATTCACAAGATTGTGCAGCCATGAATCACTACAAATCTAATTTTAGAGCCTTTCCATCACCCCAGAGTGAAATCTGGTCCCCATTAGCAGTCCCTTGCCATTGCCCCCCTCCCATTCTAGGTAAATGCTAAACTACTTTCTATGGATTTGCCTTTTGGGGAGAACTTCATATAAATGGAATCATACAACATATGGTCTTATGTGTTTGGTTTTTTTTTTCTTAGCACAGAGTTTTTGAGGTTCATTCATGTTGTAGCATTTATCAGTACTTCATTCCCTTTTATATTCAACTGGTATACTATTGTGTAGATGTACAACATTTCGTTTATCCATTTGGCAGTTGATGGATATTTGGATTGTTTCTACCTTCTGGCTATTATGAATAATGCTACTATGAACATTTGTGAAAACATTTCGATGAGCATATGATTTCATGTCTCTTGGGTGGAATTGCTTAGTCATATGGTAACTCTGTTTAATATTTTGAGAAGCTGCCAAACCATTTTCCACAGTGGCTGCACCATTTTATATTCCCACCAGCAATGCATGAGGGTTCCAGTTTCCCCACATCATTGCCAACCCTTATTATTGCCCTTCCTTTTTTTTATTATAGGCATACCTAGAGGGTATGAAATTGTTTCTCATTATGGGTTTGCTTTTTGCTTTTGGACATTTACAATTTATATGTAAATGTGTAATTCACATTTGAGCTTTTAAAATTACAGTTCTGTTATGCCAAAGTGTGATAAATGGTCATACATTATGAAATTAGGGTGAGAAAATCTAAGATTAATACTTCATATAATAGGAACATTATTCAAGCCTTAGAGTTTATGCATTTAAATACTTTTTAAAGCTGAGAATGAACTGAAAGAGTAAGCCTGTTAAATGGAACCCAAGAAGACGTGTAATTTTATATCTGAATCTCCTACTGTGAAGAGTCTCGTGCTAAGATTCTCATGCTGCATCTCATACTGTATGTTGAAGTTTGGCATTAGGTTGGTTTGCTTGCATGTGTGTGTGTGTGGTTATATATGTAATATAAAATTTCCCATTTTAACCATTTTTAAATGTACAATTCAGTACTATTATATTTATAGTGTTGTACAACCATTACCACTCTCTGTTTCTTAAAACTTTTTCATCACTCCAGCAGAAACTCTATAGCAAAAGCTCTCCATTCCCATTACCCATTGCCCCTAGTAACCTCTAGTCTACTTTTTGGCTCTATGGATTTCTTGTCCTGGATATTTCATATAATTGGAATCATTATATTGGCCACATGATATATGGCCTTTTGTGCCTGGCTTCTGTTGTAGCATATTATCAGAATTTCATTTCTTTTTATTACTAAATAATATGTTGTGTGGATTTCCATATTTTGTTTAACCATTCATTGATAGACACTAAGTTGTTTCCACTTTTTGGTTATTATGGATAATGCTGCTGTGAACATTTGTGTACAAGCTTTTGTTTGAACACTTGTTTTCAGTTCTTTTTGAGTATATACCTAGGAGTGGAATTGATGGGTCATATGGTTATTCTATGTTTAACTTATTGAGAAACTGCCAAATTATTCTCCACAGTGGCTGCACCATATTATATTCCCACCAGCAATGTATGAGTGTTCCACTTTTTTTTTTTAAGATTTTACTTATTTGTTGGAGAGAGAGCAAGCACGTATGTGCGAGCGGGGGTGGCTAGGGAGAGGAAGAGAATCTCCGTAGACTCCACACTGAACAGAGCCCTATGTGGGGCTCAGCCTCACGACCCTGAGATCCTGACCTGAGTGGAAATCAGGAGTC